ACTACTACTACTACTACTACTACTACTACTACTACTACTACTACTACTACTACTACAACAACTACTCTTAGCACTACTTCTGCTCTGTGTTGTGCGCTCTCTGGTTCCGGCCTGCTTCTGCGGTACTAAGTAACTGTGGCTCTTTCTTTTCGTGCTGCTCAGAGCAAGGAAGCTGGCATCCGCACGCTGGTTGCCCTGGACGACCAGGGAGGTGAGTTTTCAGCCACACGCTGAGATTGCCCGAATGTCTTGGCTCCCCGTCGCTCACCTCATGTTCTCGTCACCCTCTAATCCACCCTTCAACAGTGCCTTCAAGCTTGTCCGCACCTCAGTCAAAACCTTTTGTGTACCATTCTTCACCCTGCGTGTGTTTCCCTGTGTCCCAACTAGGACTCGTGATTCAAGAAATGGAACACAATTTGTGCAATGCTCGCAACTGGATACTGGAGAATCCAGATAACCACCCACATTTTATAAATTTCAAATTAGAACTATTTTCGTTTGGTAACTTCGTTTTATCGTGTGACAATACTAAAATGTTCACAGAATTGTAAGTAGAAAAACAATGTCGATAATTATTTTAAAGTAGTACGTCTTAGTACTTACCGAGTAGCAAAGTATTCCAATTTTACAATTGAATTGAATTGAATTGAATTTGCCTTATTTTACGTGGCGAGACTCGGGCCATCAGGCCCGCTCTTCCGTCTGACCACGCAAATTTCGCTACGCTTCTTTCACCAACTAGCAGAGAAAGGAGGTATTTCTTGGGCGAGAAACAGGCGATTTGAATTTAGCTCAGAGGCGTCATTTAGGCTTGAGGATCTTTTACATGCAAGTAAATCTACGAACATGGGACAGCCGGCTTTACTTCCCCTCCGAAGGAAGGCGTACGAAGGATTTTTTCGCCCTTAAAAATCCACAGCTTCGATCGGGTTTGAACCCGCCAACTTGGGTACAACAGTCCAGTACGCTAACCGTTACACCATCGCCGCCGCTCCCAATACTCTTACTCTTACAATACTCTTATGCTAAAGGGAATTGGAGTAAGAGTAAAGGAAGGTACGGAGGTAACACAGAGAAAAATTACGTGTGGAATGTTGCCGCAGTAACTCCGCTAAAAATCTCTGCATTATTGGCCACGTAGCAGTAACATGAAATTTTGT